TTTTTTTTTTTTTTTTTTTTTTTTTTTTTTTTTTTTTTTTTTTTTTTTTTTTTTTTTTTTTTGTCAATTTTTGTAAAACTGTTCAGAAATGTGACTTTATCACAATGTTTTCTTGCCCTCCTTTTTGAAGCACTGATGAATATTTTATTTGAAATAGAAAAGAATATTCTTTGATGAAAAAAGAAAAAGAATTATCAATAGTTGTTATAGGGTTAATAATTACTTTTGGTCCCTGAACTTAATATGTGAACTTTAATTTGAGAATGGATCTCATTGGAAGACTGACCCCTGTTGAAGAATGGATCTCAACAATAGTAATTTTTCGTCTCTTGGCTGCTCTAAGTCTATGAAAGAAACCTGAATGAACATCACCTTTAGCAAGCCATTTTCCATTGCATCTTTGTCTCCATAGGGATTCTTCCTAGAGCGAGAGGGAAAGATAATTCCCTTTATTATCAAGTCTTTTCTTCCTTTTCATTAGGCAGTTGCATTGCTTTGGAGAGAATCGCTTTCTGATCAGTGGTTTTGTCAAGATGATTTTATTCCATTCCTTGACCTCAGATTTAAACAATGTCAATTGTCCGAGCAAACCATTGCAGTGAGGAGACTTCCATCAATTTTCCAGTAAAGGGTTAGATATGGGGGGGTTGAGGCATCAACAAATCTAGAAGGAACCAAGCCCCACTTTTCATTTCCTAATGATAGACTAAGTGGAAATGATCAGATGTATACTTTTCCAATCTACAAACATTTACACCTGAAAATTTGAAGATGACATCATCTGTGGGAAGAAACCTATCAATAAGAGTACGCGTCTTGACAACTAGACCAACTAACACGCCCATTGCACATAGGATGCCAGTAAGGTTGGCTTGTTCAATAAAGCGATTAAACCTTTTCATGCATTTAGTTGGATTGTTGGAGATAATTTTTCTTTGGTCCATCTGATGATTTTGAAATTGCCCTACAGTCCAGCTTGGCTTACAAAGGAGAAATAGATCTGCTAGTTCCTTCATAAAAATATTTTTTTTTTCTTGTAGCAATATGGACCATTAACCCCACTAATCCACGACTCAGCCATTATTAAATGGAGAGAGGGAATAAATACCTTCAATGTCTTCGATAGCATTTATGGTTGGATCATTCTGCACTAATGAGAGTCCCACCTGAGGTACCTTCATCGTCTAAAGAAGACCAGCCAACATTCCTAGAGCTCCACGGAGATTTCACAAACTTGCGGTCAATGGTAGATGATTTGTTGGGGATTTCAAAACTGAACCAAATTTACTTAAACTGGAACAAAGGACAAATTATCTCTTAAACTGGAACGAAAGAAATTCTTGTTAATTGAAAATAGAAAAAATCTCTTTGCCTTTGCCTACAATGCGTGGCCTTGTTTTTACAATGAGTCAGATTCCTTTTTTCCCATAATGGATGCGCATTGTAAATTTTATAATTGTTGAAATTAATGCTTTTGTAATTTCCCGTTGAATGCCAATTTGTCAGCCCCTTTTATCTCGCTAGGTATAGGGTTTAGGTAGGTGCATTTCTTATCTTCGTTTTTCCCTTCTTTTGAATTCTTTCCTTTCTAATGAAATATTTTATCTAAATAAAAAGTTAATGCGTAGCCTTTATATGTTTATATGACAAATCAGATTCAATTTAACAAGTATAATACTTCTCAGCATAGTCCCTTTCTTCCACCCATCACAGCACTTAATTTTGTGTTACAAGAAAACAAGTGTAATAATTGTTACCTTTTGGAGAGAGGGTGGGAGCTGCTTGTAATTTAACAAGTTATGTCAACCGAGCAGTTGGTATAGAACCTTGCTTTTGATCAGTTCCTTTCTGTTGATGAAGCTTATCAGGAAGGGGGAAATTGATGCTGCACTTGGAAAGCTCAATGAGTGGTATCCGCATATTGTACAGGTGAACCAACTGTTTAATTCAAATTTTCATGTTTGTTTTATCGTCTGCAAAACACATAATACACGACTATGTATGATTTCGAATGTAACACTAATATTGGAAGTTTCTTGGAATGATTCTTTATTCAATAATATCTCAGTAGGGACCCCTAGTTAAAATGCTTCATTCCAGCCTTTGGCAACAGCTTAAGTCACGGTAAAACATTACACAATAATACAGCGACTTAACAAAAAAAAAAAAAAAAAAAAAAAAAAAAAAAAAAAAAAAA